TTTGTGCCTGAATTTGAGGAATTCAGGGCTCCACAGCCAGGGTTTGTTCTCAATCAGCTGTCAAGGAACTCAACCAGCAAAATTGGGCTGCAAAACTTGAAGCACGACATTCCCAGCAGGAAAGGTGGGACACGGAGCTGGGGGCTGGCACAGGACCTGCAGCAGGAGGAGGAGAAGCTCCTCGGTGGCAGCTGAGCTCATGGCACAAATTCTCCCATTTTTACAGAATCCCTGGGAAAAGCAGCGCAGAGCTGGAGCGGGTGTGAATTGGAGGTGTAAGAAATACAGACAGATCCCAGTGTGATCCCACAGGGAATGGGGTGACACCGTCACGCTGCCTCCCCTTCCTCATCCCTCCTGCTGGTTTGGTGCCAGCTGATCCCTTCCAGACCAAAGGGATGGAAGAATGGGAAAAAAAAAAAAAATCCAGGATCACCTCAGACAGAGAGCTGGCCTGGGAGGGCAGAGAGGCTTTGTCAGGGCTCAGTTCTGCCACCCCAAATCTGCTGTGGGAGGGAGCCACGGGCACCATGGGCACCCCAGGGGATGAGAACTGAAAACAGGGATAAGGGAAGAACTRGGATTTCACAGCCTGAGGTGTGGGAGGGTGTGTCTCACATCTCCAGGAAATCAGAACTGCTCATAAAATTCCCAAAGAAGGGAAAATGAATTCCCATCCCACGTTGGAGGACTGGCAGCTGCACAGCAGGAGGGTGGAACCAGCCTGACATTTTCCTTTGGGACAAGGGGAAAAAAAAAGAACCAAACAGAAATGAGTTCACAAAACTTTGCTTTTTTATTATTTGAAATTGGAAAAGGCTCCTTGGGTAACAATGATCAGGTGTAAAAGTAACACACAGGGCTTGCTCAGCTTTCCAAAACTGAATGRAATAGGCCAGGTGTTGATTTTGTACATCCCATTCCTCTCAAAACCACCAAGGAAAGGACAGGAAAAACCCATCCCTTGGACAGAGGAGCAGACTGGGCAGGTGAGGTGTTTAAATTACCAAGTTCCACATGGATATTTGTGGTGTTTTTTTCCTCCCACTGCCCTCTGTACAAAACAGGGATTTCTGTTTCCCCTTCATTTTTAACACTTCACAGACTTATCCACACTCAAAACCTACAGGAAATGCCCAGATTAATCCATCAGTGTCATGTTAAAGTGGTGAGTGCAAAAAACACATGGGAACAGGGAAGGGGGAGTAATCAATGACAAAACAAAAGTGCAGATTGCTTTAATTAAGCTGAAGAACACGGTCAATCCGAGCGCTCTCTGCTTCCAAAGTTCCAAAGATTGCAATCCAAACAATAAAAACAGAATCAGACATTTTAATTCAGCACAAGAAATACCCAAAAGCTCAGTGGCACTCACAGTTTGGTATCTTTGCCTTCCCACTCCAATATCCCAAATAATTCACTGTCCCACTGGAAAGGGCAGCTGAACACGACAGGAAGATTTTTGGCCACGGGAGCAGCCACTACAAGACAGAATTCACACATTTTCATTCCCTAAACTAGCAAGCTGAGCCTAAACAACCCATTCCCACACAACACCCAACACTCCCATCGAGTCCCACTAGGTTTAAATTAATGAAAAGCAAGAAAAAGTCATCCTTGTTGAAAAGCAAACGCCGAGCCAGCTGCAGTTTGGGTTTTCCTGGGAGCTGACACCTCCTCCAGGGACTTTTGCACAGAATTCCCTTTCTCCCCAGCACACAATTCCCAAGGAACTGCCCCTCTAACAGCAGCACTGCAATGAATCTGATTCCCACATCTACAAATCATTCCATGCTTTTTTTTCCTCCTCCTTTAACAAAACCCAGCCTGACAAATCCCYGCGGAGGGCAGAGAGCCTCCCACAAGCACAACGCCTGAGCACAGCACGTTCACAGCTCTCAAATCAGGCCCAAGGCAAACAAACTGCAGCTTTGATGTTCCTGTTTTCCAGCTGGCCAAATCCATGTGTTTTGACAACACAGGGAGAAGGATGGAGGAGCAGAACTCAGCATATAAACCTGTCACTTGTTGTCCCCGAGCCARAATTCAGCCCCAGGTCCTGCAGCGGCCACTGGGGCCCCACAACCTCGCTGCAAAGGCTTTGTTTAATCCCAAAGGCTCCTGCCAAGATTATTCCTACCCCTGACAAGTTGTTTTCCRTCCTCGCCAGCATTTCCCACCCATCTGGGATGAAGAATTCCAGCCAATTGTCCCCAAGATTTCCCGCAGAGCCAACAGGACGARGAGACGTCGGCACCAGAAATTTATCACCATCTGCAGGGCCCCACCACACATTATCCCTGTCAACAGCTCACAGAAAAGATCCCAAAAACGGGGATTTGGGAAAAAAAAAAAAGTCGGGTGTGCAGTGCTGGGGGAGAGTGATACAGGCTGTACCAAAGAGCAACACAGCAAAGCCCTGTCCTGACAGCACCAGGAGGAAAAGCAGAATTGGGAAAGCAGGAGCATTCCCTCAGCCATGGCTGATCAGATCCAAACTGCCTGCTCCTAAATCTGTCTCCTCTTTCCCAAAGATTTCAGAGCTGGGAGTTTTAACTCCATGTTACCCTGCTTTGCTCTGGAAGCACTGACAGAGCCACACAAGGAGCATCCCCAGCATTCCCAAATCCATCCTCAGAGCTTTCCTCACCCTCAGCCAAAGCAGAGGGAATTTTTGTCTGAAATGCCACAAAAGCCTGCCAGGCTTGGAGCAGCAGRAGGTGAGAAAAGGCATCAGAGCAGGAATATTAATACCAAACCTGCTATTTCCTTTGCTCCAGACAGAACAAAGCCAGGGGGTACCAGCAGTTCTTCCTTTAATCAGGAATTTTCCTGACATTTTGAGGCCAGCCAGGTAAGTTATAAATAAAAATATGCCACTACATGGGCAAGGCAGAGCTGGGAAAAATTCCCACAGGGTATCAGCCTCMACAAAACCCTTCTCTCCAGCCAGCCAAGCAGGTCTGGCCTCCAGGAGAGCCTTGGCACTGCCACTGGAAAGGTCCAGAAGGGACAAGAAGCCTGGAGAAGAGAAGAGCAGAATCACAACCTGTGCCAAGAGCAAACAGGTGACACCCAGCCCAGGTGACAAAGGACAGAGGCTCCAGACAGCTCAGTACTTGGGGAGTGACTCAAACCTCTGGTACTTGCAGGGTAATCAATGCAATCTGGATTTTAATCTCCATTTAGAAAAAAATTAATGGTAATTTAAAAGCTAAAAGCAAAAAATAATCAAGTCAGTTGTGTAAAAGTTTAGGATTTTGAGGGGTTTTTTTGGTGGGGATATTGAAGGAGGCAGGAATCTGCAATCAGAGCTACAGATGCAGCAGAAGAAGAGCTGGGTTTAGGGACAAGCAAAGGGAACAGGGGGACACGTGCCATCCCTTTGGGCTGCTAGGGAGAACACAAGGCAGACACAGACTGCCTAACAGCAAACTCCAACACGAACAGGCCACTGAGACACCAAATAAAATCCTGATCAGAATCATTTAGGGTGGAAAAGTTGTCCCAGAAACCTGCACCCAGCTGGAAACCTCTGTGTGCAGATCAGGCACGGGYTCTGCAGAGCTCAGCAGCTGCAGCAGAGGGCTGAGATGCCCAATTTCAGCCCCAGGTCACCTCTCTGCCCCTCACCAAGGCACAGAGCAGCCATTCCCTCTCTCCCAGCCCTGTGGGATCCAGACTGGCTCTTCCCTCTGCCAGGAAAACCTTGGAAAGTTGCTCACAACCAACCAACTTTTCCCAGTTGATTCACCAGGCCTGTCACAGCACTTCAGCTGCTCACCTCCARCACTCAGGCAGGTTCTCTCCTCACAGAGCTGCACAAAACAAAGCAAAAAGTGTCCTAAACCACYTTCAAATTCCCAGAGACACAGACAGGAATTTCCCTATGCAGAGAGACAGGAATTAATCCTGTGAGTGACATGAGCTGCTGCTGCTGGAGCCTGGGTTTTCACTCAGCTGAGGGAACACAGGAGAGCCAGAAATGGCCAAAAGCCCTTGTGGGAGTGAGAATAAAAGCTGCTCACAGGCACTGCAACYAGGCAGGGACTGAAACTGCCCCACAGAAGAGCCTGAAAGCTTCCAGCACAGGCACAGACGCATTTACAGACCTAAAACTGCACAGATGTAAAGGCAGGGGGTTGTTAGACACTGATSTGGGGAGAGGAGAAGGGGCCTGGAGTTTGTCACCACAGCCAGAGAGCAACTCAGCCAAGAGCTGTTTTAGTGCTGAAGATTTGTGGCACAACTCATGGTCTGGAGAGGAGCACTGGCCAGGATTTTCCTGCACAGGACAGWCCATTGGGAATCTGCTTCCCTGTCTGCAGCACACAACTCCCAGAGGAGCTCAGATCTGCCACRGAATCAGCTGGGATGAAAYAAATGCAAAGAGAAGGGGAATAAGTGTCCTGTGGAGCACCCACTGCTCCAGGAGCCAGAACAAACCACAGAATGCAGGGAAATCCCTTGTCACTCCTCTGCACTCCAAAGGCAGCCTGAACAGGAGTGACAACCCTGGGGTCACACAGGACTAATGTGGCACCTCCTGCTGCCCATCTGGAGCCAGCTGGGCTCATCTCCCAGCTCCTTTTTTTTTGTTGTTGTTGTTGTTCCTTTGCCTTTTCAGACCCTCTTTACAAAATCTGGGCAAAYCTTTCAGGTACAAAGCAATCTGAACACAAGAGCTCCTGCATTTTAAACCCAGTTCCAGTCCCACACCCAGCTCCTGTGAGCAGAAAGAATCMTTTCAGTGCTCAGGGAGGCACCCAGAGCTGGAGCTCCAGGACAGCACATCCACCAAGCTCCAGAAGCCAGGACACTGCTGCACACACTCATCTGCACTGAGGTCCTGCCCTTGCTGAGGGAATTCTCCAGAGGAAACCACACATTTCAATGATCAAGCCAAGGATGCAGCTATCACACCAGATAATGCTGCACCCACAGAAAGGTTTCTGGAGAGGAGGAGGTGCTTTTTCACCGCCTTTTCCTCTGCCCAGCTGGCATTCTTTTTGTCCCAATACATTGTTTTTTTTTTGCACTAAGGAAGCTGTTTCCTCCTCTGCAGGATCCCTTCATCTCTACAAAGCACAGACTGGCAAACAAGGACTGCTGGGAAGCAGCGTGGAGTGGCACAGAGGAAAGGGGCAGTCACAGATGTCTGAACTGGGATGTGTGGGCATTTTGGGGGGTAAAAAGGCTTTATTCAAAGTGCATGCTTTTATCCAGAGGTACCGAGAGCGAGCACTCCCCAGGGCAGCCCCGGCCGGGCAGCGCAGCAGCCTCTGCCACCCCGAGCCCTGTCCTTCACCAAGCACTCATCAAGTAGCCAGGGACTGAATGTTCTTGAGCATCTCATCAAAAGCCTCCCGGGAAGGCGCTTGGGCGTTCTGGAAGGAGACTTTGATGCGGCTGTAGAGGCTGAAGGATTTCAGCTCCAGCCAGATGAAACCGAAGCGATCGTCGTCGAACAGGACGAACACGCCCGGCGTCCGCTCGGGGCTGGTGAAGCCGTGCCCAGCGATGAGCCCCGTGCCATAAAAACTGCAAAAGGACAGGAATAAAGCAACTGTGAGAGCAGTCGTGATCAACCATAATTAAAAAAATCAGCACCAAACTCTGAGGAAGCCACTCTGCTGGGTGCCACAGAGCAGTGAGTTTTACACCCATTTTTTCTATTAAGACAACAAATCCCCATTGCTGTTTGGAGATTGCTGCTTTGGGTTATACCAATCAGCACCTGCACACCAAAGCTGGGGTTTTCGGTAGTTCAGCCCCACAACCCATCTCAACAAATCCCCATTGCTGTTTGGAGATTGCTGCTTTGGGTTGTTCCAATCAGCACCTGCACACCAAAGCCGGGGTTTTCAGTAGTTCAGCCCCACAACCCATCTCAACAAATCCCCATTGCTGTTTGGAGATTGCTGCTTTGGGTTGTTCCAATCAGCACCTGCACACCAAAGCTGGGGTTTTC